GGCGGCAGCGATGACTCTTGCGGCGGCGCGTGGGTGGTCCGTTCGCCGCGATTTTCATACCACGGTGGTCGCCCGGTCGAGATGATTCCGATGGTGTGGTCGCCGGTCGATTCTGGAACTCCGGCGACGACGGCGACGACGGCGGCGACGACGACGACGGCGAAGACGACGACAACGGCGACGACGGCGGCGGCGGCGGCGACTACAACGACAGCGGCAGTGATGAGTGCCGGAGACCGTGGAGTTGACTGGAACTATTCCTGTGCTCTAGATACCATATTGAATATAGTGAAGAAGATTAAGAGAAATCTCCCTTATGTTAAATACACACATAGGGTTCTCTATTTATAATAGAAGAAATATGGACTAAGCCCAAAATACAAATGAGAAATAATAACAAACTAACTAAAAGATAAAAGATATAATATATCTAAGAGGTTCCAATCCCACTCTGCTATTTCAGTCACTCTTTGTCTCTGCTGCGGGTGACCACAACCATTTGCTGTTGGTCGCCACCCTTTGTTGTCAACTACCATCATCTACTATTGGCTACTACTGCATGTGTTTGTGACTAATAGTGACAAACAAATTTTAGCTCAGTCTTATTGTTAATTAGATTGACAAGAGATTCAGAATTGAGATCTTAAATAATCATAAATTGGTCTTGTTCAAAGATTGGATTGGATCACCAATGAAATTCAATGAAACAGCCAAAATAAATTCTCGATTGACCTGTCACCTTTCGTCGTAGTCCTAAGCTCAATTCGTAGTTAAATGGCCTGGCACTGGTTTGCAAATTGAAGTGTGTGAATCTTATCCCTTAGTTGAATCAAGTGCTTGCAAACAATTTCTCTAAGACTGAAGCAAGCCAGAATTGCAACATAGAAGGTAGTAGTTGAATTCAGGGTTTAGATTTTAATAGTTGATCTTGAAGTTCCTATTCGTGTTAAGTTAAATTCTTAATCCATCCATGTCTGAACGAGAGAGAAATTGCACAGGTATCCAAGACCAATCACAAATTAGTGGAGATAGTGTACTTTAATGATTTGACATCTTGTTTTCAGACAAGAAAGTTCTTGTTGGAAAGATTTTCTAATATCACATAGATGATTAGTAGTGCCAGCATGGGAATAGAGTTTTTCATTCACAGTGAATGAAATGGAGATGGAAATGATGGAGTTGGTCCTCTATTGGTTTTAGGTTGCAGAAATAGGGAAAAAAGATCTGGTCAGTGAAGTTGGAATTTCATATTTTCTAGCGTAGGTTGTTATATAGTATTGAGAGCCATAAAAGTAGCATATCAAGCTCTAGATATCATAATTGACTTTTGTTGGTGTAGCAGGCCCTAGAAAGAGGGTTGTATAGAGCCTCAAACTCTTTTCGCACAGTATAAACTAACACACTTTAAAGCAAACAGATCAAGCATTGAGAATATAGTATTGAGAGCCATAAAAATATCATCTCAAGCTCTAGGTAACATAATATAAACTAAAACACTTTAAAGCATAGGTTGTTATAAAGTATTGGGAGCCATAAAAATAGCATCTCAAGCTATAGATAACATAATAGAATTTTGTTGGTGCAACAAGTTCTAGAAGGGGGGTTGAATAGCTCAGACTCTTTTTGCTCAATATAAACTAAAACACTTTAAAGCAAACAGATCAATCATTGAAAGAATTTTACACCGGTTCACCAAAAATGATGGGCTATTACTAGTTTTCCCTTAAGCACACAAACTTCTTTAGGTTATCCTAAGTACACAAACCTCTACAGATTACATGCGTACATAATCCTCTCCTAGTTATACTTTCTTAATTTCCCTCTAAGGTTAAGAACTCTCAATAATGTAAAGAGAAACTCTTAAAATAAGAGAGCACAACTAAAGCTCACAAGGATAAATTTCACAAAGTGAAGAATATTACAATGGTTTTTCACAGACTCACTATTTTCACAGACTAAATGATTGTTGCAGATATTGTAAGCTCAGTCCTTTGTATCTGTTTCATTCTTTTGAAATCGTTGTATTTCTCTAGTATGTTGTACTGTTTTTGTCCTTTCATTGTATCTGTGTCTTCAACGTCAATCCCCTTTTGTAGTGTTAGAAATGATGCCCATTGAAGCCTTTCAAAATGAATCATTTGATTTTGCATCAATGTGTATCAACATCTTCACGCTCAACACTTCATGAGGAAAGTTTTGATGGAGTCTTCAACTTAATCTTCAAATAATCTTCCTTGAAATTCTTTTATCACGAGATATTCTTTTTTTAAGCTTTTTATCTATAACTTCCATCTTGAGATCAGAGAGAACTTGTTATAGAAAGATTTGATGTTATTCTCTCCAACTTTCAAAAAAATTCGCTGCTAAAAGAAACTTTTCAATAGATTATGTGAATATCACATTAGCAGCATAATCATATATAATTAGATATCACATATATATAAGATCAAGACAAATCAAATAATGTTAGTCTCATATCAGAGCAAATAGAATATTTTTATATATAGAGCAAAAGTGACCGTTGACACTTAAAGCATTTTCAATTTCAAGATATATGATTTTGTTTGTGAAATCCTTTGATTTAGATTTAATTATCTAGGAACATTTTGATTGTTGCAACTTGTTAGTTTCATTTAACTCATAAGCTAAGCAAATCATAAATAATTAGACCAATAAAACAATTAAGATGTTGACTGCAAAACTCGCCAGATGAAGCTAATAGTCGTCTAGTAAGATCTACTGATGAGAGGTCTGATTAGTTCAAATGTTGAGTCATCTGATCATTACATGTTGAATCATCTGATCAGTACAAATGCAAACTTGACAAAGACACTTTAACTGCATAAGCACACCCTAAATATTCAAAGAATATATACTCACTTAGAGTATTTGTTATCATCAAAACCATTGGGTGATTTTACACGTAATAGACTTTATGATACAGGTCATCTTATCCTTGACAGAGTTGTGTCGTCTAATTAGTACAAATTTGATCGTTTGATCTAACAATTTTAAGGGTGTGTTCTTTTGTGAAGATGAATTTGAGGGAGAATGAGTGAATGAATTTGAGAGTAAAGTTTTTGTTTCTTTTAAGGGATTTGGAGGTGAAAGTAACTGAATTTGAGAGTAAAGTTTGTAAATGATTTGATTAATATAAAATAAAGTTTTAATAAATAGAAAAGAAAGATTACAAAATTACCTTTAATGTGTTAAAAGTAATATGAAATGTTTTTTGAATGAGTTAAAAATATTTATTTAAAAAACTGTTATTCAATATTGAAAAATAAATAATACAATTAATTTGTATAAAAAATATTTACAATTAATTATTATTGTGGTTAAAAATATGTTGACATGTTGTATTTTAATAATAATTCAAAAAGTAAATATTTTTATTTTAAAATTTTTAATTATTATTAAACATAATTATTATTAGACATAATTAATGATTATTGTTGTCACTAATTGTAATAAAACCGTGAAAAATATTAAGCACAATTTTGTTAGAGAAACTACAATGCATCCCCTGAAATCAGGAGCATGCTATACATGATTCTCCCTATGGCACATACATAAGTGAAATGTTTCGTAAATATTTTCCTTAACAAATAACTGGTAAATATATACTGATAAAAGGAAAAGGGCCTTGAAATGTAAATAAAAATCCAACGAGAAAAAATTATTTCATACAAAAGCATCCAAGGAAACCTTGTAATTTATACTAGCTAAGACATACCTAAAGTTCTCAGCAAGGAGGCATGTATTAGGTACTACAAAGACTAGGAAACTACTGTACAACCAAATAATATGAATGAATTGTATACTCTAACACTCTTATTGACTAGGGATTAGTGACTGATAAGATAAAGCTTAGGCACCCTAAACTCATCCTAACTAAATTTTAATTTTTTTCCTACTATTTGTGCTCATTTTCTAATACACATGCTTACAATTTTACAGGCAGAAGAAGATCATGATGGAGATGAGACATGGGATCCAGATTCTGACATGGACGTTGATGGTGAATGGTATTTTACTTTGTATTCAATTTATTTCTTATGATTAAACATTACATGATCAGGTGCTCAATTTGTTTCCTCATTTATCAGTGAGCTTGTTCCAAGCAAAGTAAAGAAAGAAATAGTTGAACCACAGCTCAACGGTCTGGTATGTATCTCTGTTGGTTTTTGAAAATTTAAATAAATTAATAAATTTTTTATTTGTTTTGAGACTCTAATGGTTAAACATGCTGTATAGTGTCAGAAGTTTTATATAAATCTACTTGTATTAGCCATTTTTTCAGACACCATAAATGACATGAGCTGGGTAGGAACATCAACCTCTAACAATAGGGTACTTAGTTGCTCATGGTTTCACGCTGACACAGACTAAAAGAATAACTAAGGTTAAGAGCTTAGAGCACACAAATATTATGATGTGTCTCAGTACCTAGGATAATTTACAAGGTTGTCTAACCCTAAGTTTATAATATTTGGAGTTGGGTTTTTTCTTTACAAACCTACTCTCAAAGTATCCCCTTAGGTCAAGCAACAAAAGCGGTAACAACAGAGTGAATGTAGCCCTCATTGTTGAGAGGCGGAGAGTGCAAGCCAGGTGTCTTATGATGTGGCTAGGATTTAGACATATTATGATGTGTCTCGTGCATAGGTGCCCTCGTGGCTTGCTTAATCAAGAGTCCCTTGCTCGAGCTTGAGTAAGTACCACTTGCTCAGTCTATTTAAGCAAAGGATCTTAGGTTCTACTTTTGGACCAAAAACTTCTTTTTTTTCAAAAAAAAAAAAAAAACTTAAAAGCATAATTAATAAAATTTTAAGTTGTACTAAAAACTACTAAATATATATCATAAAATAACGATAAGTGTCTAAATACAAGTTAAAAATATGATTAAAATATACCAATATTTGACACTTATCAAATCTGCCTTTGAACAATGCATCACTTCATTTGAGATCTTCTTGGTACTAACTACTATGACCAATTCTTTCCTATTGGTTATTCACTCCCACAGTGGGACACAAGAAAATCTACTATGGGTTGGTTTATGTTCAAGGTGATTGCCCATTTGTTGGTGTATATTCTTGGCATTGAATTAGAGTACCGTGCCATGTGCCATGTGCCATGTGCCATGTGCCATGTGCCATGTGCCATGTGCCATGTGCCATGTGTCATGTGTCATGTTGCTTGCTTTGAGATAATTTGGTTGCCTTTTGTCTTTATAAAGCTTGGTTTTACACAACTCAACCAAGACTTTACACGTTGAGTTATAAAATGATATTGTAGATTTACAATGAGACATTACCAACCATTATAACAGTAATTATGACAATCAATATACCATAGGATCGTTAAGAGATTTTGTAATAATTATTCTAGGGTGGTAAATCTCTGTATATAGTCTGTAGTATTGGTTTACTATCAATTTGAATTGAATCAACTTTCTTCTCTTAAGTCTTCAAGTTATTTCAAGTTGGTAGCAGTGTTCTCAATCTTGGGGACTTTGCTTATATGTCTAAATCCTAGCCACATTAGTTGTGGCTCTTTCTCATTTGTATTTGGTTGCCTGAAGTGCACCCACCCTGATTTTTGGGTTGCCTTAAGTGCTCTCAATATGTACACGTGGCAATATTTCTCTTGTGCCATCTCTCACTCTTGGCGTCCTTCATGTCTTAAAACTTTCCAATAGCCTTGTTTTTGTTCACAAACTCACTCAACCTAAATTGTTCTATAACACTCTTTCCCTTTCATTGTGTTTTTTCAAGATATTGCTAGGGAAGGGTGGTTAGAACTTTTAAGGAACATGGAGGGTTATAATATCTCAAAAAGGCTCAAGAACCAAGTGTATAGTATCAATAAAGAAATTATTTCCACGAGTCTTCAGTTTTGTGCTACTTATTAGTCCTCTCAAATTTGGCTTCTTCATTGTTGTCTTGGACATATGTTGCTTTATATTCTTAAGTCCATATTTTCTTCTTTTTTTTCTCAAAAGAGTTTGTCAAGTCATTCAAGTGCCGTCGTGCCACCTTTTCTCCTGGTGATACAAAAAGTGTTAATCCTTTTTATTTGATCCACTCTAATGTATTGGTCCCACATTAAGTTATAGTATATCTAAAACAAAATGGTTGTCCCTTTTATTGATGATTGCTCTCGTATCTCGTGAATTTTCCTTATGAAAGAATAATCTAAAGTTTTTCTATTATATCAAAAAGTATTTATATGATCACACCAATGTTGTTAACCTCGAGGATCGTAGGAGGATAGAAAGGAAGAAAAAAAATAGTAACTTGAGGATTGTAACTTGAGGATTGTAACTTGAGGATTGTAACTCGAGGATCGTAACTCAACTAGTAAGAGTTATGAGTAAATAAAAATTTATATTATAAAAGGAAATATCATTAAAAATAATAAAAATAACTTATACCTAATTTTTAAAATAGGTTCATAATTAATAATATAATTAAAAAAGCTCATAACTCATAAAACGTTCATATATAGAACAACTAATAAATTTATAAATTCATAAAAACTGGTCATTCCATTATTTTCCTTCAAAATCTAAATAAACCCTAAACAAAATGAAGAGCAAAAGCCTTTTTCTTCAAATTCTCAACAAACCACAAAAAGCAAGAGAGTAAAAGCAACATAGGTGTGGACAGAAAAAGGAGTAGAAGAATAGAAGGGCACAATGAGGTGGGGAGAGCCAACGACAGTGAGGGCGGTGAGTGTCGGTGACAATGAGGATGACGATGATCACAAGGGCAGCAATAGCATGGGATTGCAAAGGTGGCAACCGCGGGTGAGTGCGTTTGTGGTGTGAACCATGGTCGTTGTGAAACTCGTGCTCCATGTGGGTCTTCTCCTTTGGTTCTGATATGTGAAAGACCGAAAAGATGCACAATCCTTCGATCTGGCGAGCATCCTTGCATAATCGCTTTGGTCTGCTCAACTTTTGATCCAGCCTGCATGAAGGTGCAAACTTGCAGGATCTTACAAGTTTGTGAGTGTACTCGTGATTTTAACAACACTGGATGGGACATACTAAAAAAAGTGTTTCTCTTTACGTGGTTTCCCTAACACGACAACCAATGTCATCAAATCTGAGAAGGTTGTTCCTAAGTATTTTAATAAAGATATCAAGAATATCTTAGGTTAAAATTCAATGGCCAAGCATAGTCTTCCGCCCAATCTGGTTTGTCAATAATTTCTCTTTTCTCAAACCATGGAAAGTCAAAGTTAATGGATTTTTTTATTCAAGTGCTTATGATTGTATATTTGGTAATACTTATGTGTTTTCTTCTCTCTCTTCTAAATTTCCAATCATGTTACATGAGCCAATGGGTTCAAAATTGCTTCTGAGGGAGTTAATCAATTCTCCCTCTCTTCCTTGAACCTAAATTTTGTTCGTCAAGTCCATGCTTCTCCTTTTAACCTCGTTTCTCTTTGTTAGTTCACTAGATGATTAAATTATTTAGTAAATTTTGATGTCAATTCTTTTGTTATAGACTAGCATTGTACGGATCAATTGATTGTTGATGGACATCAATTCTTTTGTTATAGACTAGCATTGTACGAATCAATTGATTGTTGATGGACATCAATCTCGAGGATTCAACTACCTCAGATCAGATATTTTATTTTGTTTTGCTTTCCCATCTCCAAAACTTTTGTATGATTGCTTGCATCATCCACACCTATCCAAATTAAAGAAAATAGTTCCTAACCTTATCAAGCTTCAAGTCCTAGAGTAGTCATGTCAACTAGAGAAACATGTTAGATCTTTCTTTCTAAAGAAATCTAAAACAAAATGTAACTCGGTCTTTTCTATAATTCATTCTAACATTTGAGGTCCTAGTTGAGTCTCAATTTTTTGGATTTCATATTTTGTTATGTTTATTGATTAATTTTTTTGTTGTACTGGATTTTATTTAATGAAAGATTGTTTGGAAAAGTTATCAAAGTTTTGAGGAGTGGTAATGCAAAAGAATAATTTTCTCTTAGCTTTTCTACCCTTAGTTCTCATGACATGCTACATCAGTCCACTTTCCCTTATACACTTTAGCAAAATGGTATGGCATTGCTTGATCTCAAGAGGATACTCAAGGAGATTCTCCTTGAAATCCCTCAAAACAACGGAGGAATGATAAGAGGAAAAGTCTTCTGCAAGTTTTGCCAGTAGAAGATGGAAAACAATGCAATGAGAAAGGAACAAACGGTAGGCTCCAATAATGCACATGAAAAAATAGTGTTCTCAAATCTGGTTTGAACCCCTTAAACTGATAGAGGAAGGACCAACTAACCTGATGGTGTGATTAAGCATGCGAGATCAGCAAAGTTGTTTCTTACAGTTTTGTATTTCCTTAACGAAATAAAAAATCTGTTGGGCAAAGTTATTTATATTGAGTGATAATGCAAAAGAATAATTTTCTTTTAGCTTTTCAACATTTAGTTCTCATGACATGCTACATCAGTCCACTTGCCCTTCTACAGTTTAGCAAAATGGTATGGCGTTGCTTGATTTTAAGATTGAGAAGTCTTACTTAGAGAGTCAAGGAGATTCTCAAGGGTTGCAATTTTGACATCCCTCTAAACAAAAGTGTTCTTCAAGTTTTGCCATCAGAAGATGCAAGAAAATGCAACAAGGAAGGAACAAACAGTAGGCTTCAAAACTGCCCATGAAAAAATAGTGTTCTCAGATCTTCAGTTATGTCTTTCCCTAATGAAATAAAAAATCTGTTTGGCAAAATTGAAGTTTTGATGAGTGATAATTCAAATGAGTAATTTTCTTTTAGCTTTTTCTACTTTTAGTTCTCATGACATGATGACATGCTATGTTGGTCCACTTGCCCTTATACACTTGAGCAAAATGGCACGACATTGCTTGATTATAAGATTGAGAAGTCTTACTTAGAGAAACAGGGAGACTCTGATGAGGTCCAATTTGACATCCCTCAAAACAACGGAGGAATGATAAAAGGAAAAGTCTTCTGCAAGTTTTGCCATCAGAAGATGCAAAAAAATGCAACGAGGAAGGAACAATTGGCAGTTTCCAAAAATGCCCATGAAAAAATAGTGTTCTCTGATCTGGTTTGAACCATTTAAATAGACCGAGGAAGGACCAGCTACTCTGAGGATGTGGTTAACAATGTGAGATCAGCAATGTTGTTGTCTACAGTTATGTCTTTCCTTAATGAAATCAGAAATCTGTTTGGCAAAGTTATCAAAGTTTTGAGGAGTGATAATGCAAATGAATAATTTTCTTTTACCTTTTCTACTTTTAGTTCTCATTGCATGCTACATCAATCCACTTGCTCTTGTACACTTAGCAAAATGGTACGGCATTGCTTGATTATAAGATTGAGAAATCTTTCATTAGAGAGTCAAGGAGATTCTCAAGGGTTCCAATTTGACTTCCCTCAAAACAACGGAGGAATGGTTAGAGGAAAAGTCTTCTGCAAGTTTTTCCATCAGAAGATGCAAAAAAATGCAATGAGGGAGAAACAAATGGTAGGCTCCAAAAATGCCCATGAAAAAGTAGTGTTCTCCGATATGGTTTGAACCCCTTTAACAAACTGGGGAAGGACCAGCTAACCTGAGGGTGTGTTTAACAAAGTAGATCAGCAATGTTGTTATCTGTAGTAGTCTTTAGTGAAATAAAAAATCTGTTTGATAAAGTTATCAAAATTTTGACTGATAAGGGAAAAGAATAATTTTCTTTTAGCTTTTTTACTTAGTTCTCATGACATGCTACATCAGTCCACTTGCCCTTGCACACTTCAGCAAAATGGTGTGGCATTACTTGACTATAGAATTGAGAAGTTAGAGACTCAATGGATGGTGGTGACGGCATTAAGTAGTGGGAAATGATGGAGCTGTGTCATTTTTAACAGGAGGCTTGTCCGTAGATTATTCATTAATTATAGAGATTCATGTGGAGCTGTGGCATCAGTGCCAGAAGATTGAATATATGTTTGTATTAAAAATAAAATATCTAGTGCATGTATTCAAAATAAAAAAAACAAATGTTGTTCCACTGAATGGTATGACTACATAGTTCATTGATAGGAACCCGAAAATGTTAATGTCTGTACTTAGTAATGTATATGGCCGATGTTCATACAACTTAAAATGTTAATTTGTTTATTTTGACTGTCAAGCATCCTTAACAGTTGAAATACACTGATAAAATTGTGTGAAATCACGATGTGCACTGACTTCCTATCAAGTAATGATCATGTATCTCAACTATCTGCTGACACCAACAGTTCATTTGTTAATAATTGGCAAACTGCTGACATTTAAATTCTGGAGACAGTTTTATATTCTTTCTTTTTTTAATTATTTAACTCATCGTCATGTATTGTCTATTGCGTAACTCTTCAACTAATTGCTTTTTCTTGTACATTCCTCGGACTGCTTCTGTTGAAAACCATTATGTAAGTTCGTACATAAATTCGTATGCAACTTGGTACAATGTTTGATACCTGTTTAGTTTCAGGATGACCAGAGAAGAAGTGGGGAACATTTGAGAGTGTCTGATACTGCAGTTGCTGAAACTTGCATGAAGGTGAATTTCACATCATAAAGCACAAATGCATGAACACTAAGCGTGTATGCAGATTAGTATCAGTGCATTTTATTGGAAGTGTCATTTACAAACTTGTCTGACTGAGTTTGGTTCTTGCAGGCTCTAGATATTTCTTCTCAGAAAGCTGATGAAGATAATGTGAAAGTTGAACAGAATACTGTGAATGATTTGACCAAATAGACGGGCCTGAGGTGCTGAGGAACATAGGTTTTAACTGATTGGTGAACAGTGAAATTAATTTCCATTCATGCTGTCGCATTTCCGAATTAATTGAGATGTGGCTGTTGGTTGGTTTCATTATTGTCGTCATTGTAAACACGCAGTCCCATTTTCCTAATGTAAAGGGCAAATTTAATTTGATTTTATCACATCCAACTGGTTCTTTTACTGTTACATTACATATTGTAACAGAATGGTAATTAGGTAATTATGTTCTATTATTGAGCTTGATTTATTTTTCTTATACTGATCTTTGTTTATCAGTATAAATTTCTCGGATTCTTGTATAAGAAGAGATCCCAGAGAAAACTCTTGCTTACTCTCGCTTTTAAAAAGGCCAGTAGACACTTTTAAAACTAAAATTTACATGTTTGAATCATCAATTTTATATCTTCCTGAAGGTTTTCATAAATTTATAATTAGAATAATATCTTAAATTTTATTTTTGAGAAAAATAATTCATGAGTTGTATCGTAATACTCTCAAATTAAAAATAAATTATTTACAAAATTATGTTTTAGTGGGCAACAATCAGGAAGAATTGATTTTTTGAAAATTTGAACAATGATATATTTGAATGTGTACTTCAACATTAAAATCACATGTCCAGACCTACGATATCATTTGTTCTTGTGCAACATACACAATCATTATAAGTGAAAACAATAACCACAAATAAAAGGATAAACTAATTTAATAAAGATTACACATCATTTAGTAGTAATGGAGACCTTGACATCATTTGTTCTTGTGCAACATACACAATCAGGTGAAAACAATAACCACAAATAAAAGGATAAACTAATTTAATAAAGATTACACATCATTTAGTAGTAATGGAGGCCTTGAGAAACTACACGCTCAAATAATCTAAATATGTAAAACAAATACATATGAAAACATTCAGATTATGAAATGTGAAAGTAGAAAGACTAACCTTGTTGCTTAACTTATGGTTTCTGAACTCTTACTCTAAAAAAATACGATGGTGATGTATTATGAAGTGAAGAATAGTCTCAGTAACCAAAGTAGAGAAGAATATCAAATTTATAGAACTCCAAAACCAACATAGAGTTTGAAAGTTAGAGGAATTTGTTGCGGGAATCATTATACCTATCCACGCACATTTGAAATCGATTTGAATAATCTTGAAAAAATGGACTAAATTCAAAGAAGATGTTAACTACTGAAGAGAGAATTAAGGGAGAGGATATCACCATAAAAAATGGAGGGCATTACTTTGTAATAACCGCTCTGTCTTGCAAAAAATGCGTAAATGCCAACAGTCATTAGGACTTGCCCAACCCGTATTAATCACAGAGACATGCTCAAATCGTAATAATTATAAGAACATACCCAACTTGTGACAGTCCGTGGACTTTCCCAAACTGTAGCAGTTATAGGATTTGTCCAAACCGTACCAGTTATGGAGACATGCTCAAACGTCTAGAATACTTATAGAGACATACTTATACTTGTCTAATATCGACACAAAACATAATAACAATGAATATCGATACTCGTCATACAATCACATGAAATATTAACTTCTCTCACTTGGTTCAAGTAGTTAAGCTTTCAAAGTTTCTTCGTATATTTGAATTTTATATTTATAGGTTTTGACTCTTATCCTTCAAATTATAAATACTCTAAAGAAATTTTAGAAGATATTTCTATTAACCACAAAATATTAGAGTCGTCAAAATGAGTAACCCAGCTCGACCCGACCAGCCCGACCCACCACGGGTTGGTCACTTAGTGAGCCAACCCAACCCGACTCACTTATTAGCGAGCTGAAAAACTTTAAACCCGACCTAACCCACCACGGGTTGGTGGGTTAAACGGGTTGACTCATTGACTCACTTAATTATAAGTTTTTTTTAAAAGAAAAAAAACTATATATTTTTTTAATTCAAATCTAAATAAATTTCACTCTAACCCCAAAGACAATTCAAAATAAAAAAAATCATACAATCTAAGCCTAATCCAAAAACAATAACAAAAGGCGAACAAATAAGTTTTTAATATATTGATAATTTTTGTATCACTTGTCCATCTATAATATTAGAGTCTTAAATAGATAAATCTATAATATTTTTTTCTCTTGAAACATCTTTTCTTTTATCTCATCTACAATATAATAAAAAAATGTCAACTAATAATATTGAAAAAAAAAATAATAAATAATTAAATTAAATTAGGTGGGTTGGTGAGCCAACCTGGCTCGCCACGAAATCAACCCGGATAAGTTAGGTTCTAAGTGAGCTGGCTTAAAAGCTAAGCTGCATAAAAAAATTACATTTTTTTCAAATCCAACCCGGTTCAAACCCATTGTGAGCCGAGTTATCTCGCAGATTTCAACTCATCTTGACAAAATTACAAAATATCATATATTACTTAACCATTTTTTTATATATTTGAGAAAATATATTTAATATCTTAATAATTATTCACCAAATATTTATTTCTTAAAAAGTCCTTTAAATAAAATAAATATCTTAAATTAATAAATCATGTCTCTAATAATAACTTTTAAAATAATTAATTATTATTTAACAATATTTAAAAATATCTCACAATATCTAATAATATATAATATCTTTTTAATTAAATAATCATTAAACTCCTTTATCTTTACTTAAAAATATCCTTTTAACCCTATTTATTTATTTTATTTGTCTTTAATTTGTTATTGCTGATTTAATATTAACTCAGTTTTAATATTATTTAAAAGTGATGTTACGTTTGAAATCATTAATCCAATAGTCAAAATATTGTTATGTCACTTTATATATATATATATATATATATATATATA